TTTTTTTCCTCCTCCTCCTTCCCTATCGTTTTTCAGTTGTTTTTCATCTAATATAAGGGTGCGCTGACCACGGGCTGCGTCCTGGCCTTCCTGTTCCTGTCCCCCCTTGTCAATTATTTGTATTGTTTTTATTGTCTATTCATGTTTTTTTCTTGGAACGGGTCGTACAAAACTAAATTTCGTATCACCTTCCCTGGTGCATATGACAATAAAGAGATTCTGATTCTGATTCTGATTCTGATGTTGGTGCAATTTTGTATAGTGTAGCGCGCCTGGCTCGGAAGCAGAGAGTCTTGGGTTCGATTCCCAGAGGAACCACATCCTTGGTGCTAGCCTGCTAACGACATATCTGCAGCTAACGCAACAATTTTCCAAATATGTTATCAATATATATATATATATATATCAATATAGTACAATTTTTTTTTTTTTTATACTTGGCAAAATAATTTCTTTCGATGTTTCAGCCTTGGTTTCCACAAAACCAAGTTTCGACCATTTTTCCGCATCCCTAGAACCAAGAACCACCTCAACCACCACAAAATTGTTCTCCACTGCGATTCTCATTCCTCCGACAACACTTCCGCAAATGTTCTCCACCTTCGAATCGTTCGCGGGTTGGTGTGGGTGAACGTGGAAAAAAGTCCATTCCATCTTTTTGAAAGTTGGAAGCCCATTGGAAGCTTAAGATGTTCTTGGTGGAGATCAAGAAGGAAAATCAGAAAAAAAAAAAAAGGGGAAGCTCCAGGAAAGTCTGTTTCAGAAAGAATAGTAAAGCTGGGGATGAAAGAAGGATGACGAAGGGATGATGGCGCACACACACACGCACACACACACTCTAGCTTTTATTAGTCTTGCACTAAAAACACCACACTCGGATTAGAGCGAGTTGCACACACTTCACACTGTGTGTCACTTTGTGTGTGTGTGTGTGTGTGTGAGATAGAGTGTGAGAGAGAGAGAGAGAGGGAGGGAGAGAGCTTACCTTGGTCTCTTTCTCTTCCAACAGCGTCTCCAGTCTCTTTTGAGCGGCGCGGCCCTCGTGGTCGTCGCTCACGATCAGGATGATGTGGTTCCACCTGAACTCCCTCATCAGGTCGAACCAGACGTTGGCCTGGTGGGAGTACGGGGGAACGGTCCTCAGGAACGACAGGTGGATGCTCTGAGAGAAAAAAAAGTACCAGTCAACGGCCATTAAAAACAAATGACAAAAATGAAATATACTTTTTGTAAAATTTCTCCTGATGATATATTTGGACACATGACCATAGTATTTAACCTGTCCAGTGAACTGATCAGTATTTTATAGACTTTCACTTTCACTTTGACTCTTAGTTTAAGACAACCATATACAAAAAAACATTTTAAACGACGCAGTTGCGGGCCAGATCAGACAGTTTGGTGGGCCATTTTTAGCCTGTGAGCCGCGAGTTGGTGATCACTCGTTTAGAAAGTCATACTTGTCTGGCAAATTAAATGTACGTGTACTACAGTACTCGAGAACAATTCAAAGAAAATACAATTTGAAGGATGCAATGTTGCGTTTGTGCGATCGCAGCAGCGAGTGTGTGTTACATGTTTATTGGCAGAGCGCGTGTGAGTCAAACAGTGTGTGGTCATGTTTGCCCGGTTGTTTTCTCACTGCGCTCACCGTTTGTTGTTGACTCTGGCTCGCTTTTCTGAGCGCTGGGTGTAGGTTTATCGAAAGCGCTCGAGCGCCGTTGGGCCCCGTTCCCACTCGTCCCGATCCCCGCGGTGAGTGACCATATGGTGAAATGATACTTGGCTCGAACAGCCAAAGGATTTTTATTTAGAAACTGAAATGCGTCAGTGTGGGCAATGTCTCTGTGTGCTGACATTTGTTTATGTTTTTAAACTCAGGAGATAATTCTTCAAAAAAAAAAAAAAAGAATTCCCGCCAAATTGGTAAATATTTAAATGTGCATCTGCACCAAAAATACCAGATATTTTGTACAATCTCAACTTGTGTTTTTCTAAAATTTGAACTCGTTGTGAGTAAAGCCTCTCTACAGTAGATTAGGGTCAGGTCTGCCGGTGGTCATCACGGGGTGAAATACTGTGAAAGTACGTGGACTTTTGGTCCCAGATATTCTGGGAGCTACAGTACGATATTCCATCAATATTGTAAACCTGAGAGTAGAGAGAGCGCAAGAGGCTTTCATCCAGTCACACGTCTGATGGACTCTGACCTAGAATAAAGAATCCATTACATCGGACCTGGACCACTGCCACGGCGTTTCCACAGTGATGAGCATGGTCAGTCACATGGTCGGTCACATGATCAGTCGCATGTGCTTTTTGTTTTATCTGTTGTCCAAGAGAACGTCCACTTCACCTACGGTAACGTCTACACCACAACCTAAGCTAATGCTAATAAGCTATTTAATTAACAAATCATAAATAAAAGGTACCCATCGTCAGAGGCGTCAGCGCAGTAAGGTTCTGGTTACCTTGTCAGAATAAATCGACATTCTTGTCGTCAGGCCGACCACGGGAATTCTGTAGAACCCGGCGGTGTAGGAAACGGGCGTCGGAGTCAGGTGATCATTGGACTGAGGCGGGTGACTCACCAGGATGGCGTAGACCTGAAAACGACAAAAAAAAAAAAAAACTTGGTGTGATTTTCTTATGTGTATGTTCAACAACCAATCACATTACAGAGTTGTTCTGGTGGTCTTCCACATGGTCTCCCCCACATCTACATACAAACCAAACCCCTGTCTATTACAGTGATTCCCAACCACTGGGCCGTGGCACGCTAGTGTGCCGTGAGAAATCATCAGGTGGGCCGCGGACAATTATCCAATTTCACTTAATTGGGCTAAAAAGTATTATTTATTTATTTTCATACATTTTTTTCGTTGCTCGTCAAAGCGTGAAAGGCAGAACAATGAAATACTCTTCTGCTAGGTGGCAGCAGATAGCTATGAAAACTGAAAGAATAAAATAAAATAAAAACGAAAATCAGAGCTGTTGAAGATCATTTGGGTCTTTCTTCAATTCCTGCCAGTATATCAGCGTTGTCTTCAACTAAACAGGCTGAGATTTTCTTTAGTCAATTATGAGGTCATTTAGACTAGAAGATTATTATATTTTATTAAATATATTTTTTGCGAGATTTGTGTTTGGTGGTGTGCTGTGGGATTTTTCCTGATGAGATATACAGTGGGTACGGAAAGTATTCAGACCCCTTTAAATTTGTCACTCTTTGTTTCATTGCAGCCATTTGCTAAAATCAAAAAAGTTCATTTTATTTCTCATTAATGTACACTCAGCACCCCATCTTGACAGAAAAAAA